GTGCGTACATAATTCAAGAGATGTCATTTAAGTTGCCTCTGCGGTGAAGAGATTAGCCCCAGGCTTGGTAAGAGAAAAAACCCTTAAGCCGATTCCAAATCCTCGCGAATTAACGCGTAGCAGCCGCACACCCAAATCAATCCGTGCTGGAGGGTCCGATCGATGGCGGTTTGAGGGGAGTAAGAAGGAAGGATAACCCGGTACAACACTATGAATTAAACTTGGCCCCCAGTCATATCTTCGGATGGAGAAGCGGGAAGGGGCACAGATTTTTTTTTTCTTTTTGGTTTTTCATCCGTAAACTACCCGTTGGGTAGAGCCCTCATTAAGGCCGCAGCTAGCGCGCTGGTATGGCTGCTGCGATACCACAGGCGTGGTACGAGGAACCCCATTTGCCTTAATTTGCATAGCAGAGTGTCCCCTCGATGTCGGGAAGACGTGATGAGAATGTACGCGCCAATACAATGAATTTTCATAGGAATTTTTTAATCATTCCCTATTTTTTTTTCTGGTGACGAAGACCAACAGAGGATCGACGGACGCGGGCTGTGAAAACACCCGGAAAAGTTTGAATTGGAAATTATGAAGATAATTGGATGTTGGTAGTGGATCGGGCTACACAATGGAGTGACAGGACAAAGATAGATTAAGGGATGGGAACAACCGCACTTTGATTGTTGGCAGGCATCTGCCTGCATTTCGTTCCTTGTCTGCTAGAGCCGACGAAGAAAGCTAACAAAGAATTCAATTATAGTTTAGTCATCTCGGTATTACTCGGGGCTTCTGCACTTCATACCGTGGCTCAAATGTATACAACAAACTATAAATTTAATGTACAGTTTCCTTCACCTTGTACTAACGAAATTCGTTTGTAAGTCAAACTCCAGGAGCCAATTTTCAGTGGCTTGAAAAGGGGATAACTCTCTAGGCTGTCAATTATATGCGGCTTTAAAATGAACCTTAAGTTCCGATTCTGTTTGGATCAATTATCGTGGTTCATCTTTAAGTTAGTAGAAAAACTTTCGCGCTTGTTGACGTTAAGATGAGGAAATTATCCCATCTGGTGTCACCGTCATGTGCGTCAGATCTACCGAAGATATTCAACCTCTTGGTGGCAGCAGACATCTTGTACTTTACCCGTTAATGGCGTTCTCTGCCATTGCAGTGCATATATAGCAAGACGCAATGGATATGTAAGACGGCACCTGAAGGATGTTATTGGTTCCACGTAGCAGTTTGAAAGTATTCCGTACACGTTTTAATTACAAACTCAAGTAAGCCGATTATTTTGTACAATCAAGATATTTGGTATCCCTTATGGCTCATTTTTGTAATATACCTTAACGTATAGGCCTACCTGTGTATACATGAGTATTGAATAAACATTTTTTTGTATCAACTCTTACGGAGTTTTCTGGAAAGATTTATCCACTTAGCTGCTGAAATTGGGGCATTGGGAAATATAAAAATTGATGAGCTGCCAAATCACACTTCAGGGCAGAGCAAATCTTGGCGCAGTAGGATTAAGGGCGGATTGACTTTCCGGTGAAATAAATAATGCAAGGAACATTCAATTAATTAACTGGGCCAAGCAAACTAATTTTGTTTTTTTTAAAGGAACTAAAACGAATCGCACCTCGGGTCACAGGAATCACAACTTATATCCGCTATAGCTACAAATAATCACGCCTCTCGCAAGCTGGTTCGTTGTTATTATTACACCCGGGAGGCTATTTTGAATTCCAGAAAGATGGTGTTTTCCATTCAGGCTGAGCGCCCTCTATCGATGGTGCTCAGCCTAGAGAAACAGTAGGTTAGACTGTTTCCCAGCCCCCCTAAATATATGGGGACCGGTAACTAGCTCGCATTTAAAGCCTTTGATTGGATCATCTGTGCGCGCGCGCAGCAAGACTGTTTATTTTTGAATCGATGTTCAATTGTGCATGGACGCCGGTCATTCAACACACGATTATCAAGAAACTCACACTCATCTTAGCACAAAAAGTACACAAAATCACCAGTGTCTCCATGAAAGCAATTCTTAAGCATTTCAACTGCATATGTTGTAAATATTGAACAGCAATATTTCTCTCTTTACTGATATTTGCCAGAGATACCTTCAAATTCAGCAGAAATCGGAGGCTCATTCCCTCCAAAATTGCAAATTAGTGGCCAGGCTATTGCATTTGCAATAGGCTGGTTGCAGGCAAACTTTACCATTGTGATTTTGAATTAAATTTAAAGAAGCGGGATTCAGACCTATTGACGTCATGCATATAATTTGCAGACATAACACGTATTTCCGTGTAATGTATGGAAGATTCACCACTGGTTACCGGACCCTATATTCCAAGTCCGAAGGACAATAGGGTCAGAGAACCGGAATAACAGGTGGTACTTCGGTACGCTCACGTAGAGGTCGAGCTATTGGTGATGTGATTTTCAGCACACACCCGTTTTTCTATTCGAGTACACGGCTGATTGGCAATATGCTAACATGATCAGTTAAGTGTCTCGAATGCGGTACATGCAAACTTGAAAGGTTTTTGCTTTCACAGGTTAAGTTCCTAAGTTGATACTGTTCGGTTTATTTATAGAACCCATGTGAATCTGCGGCCCTAGTGCTGATCACACTGTCCTGGCCCCACCAAAGTGGAGTTTGCCTCCGAATTACAACCTCAATCTCGCCGGGAAATAACAATCTCACGATTTTTGCCGAGGGGGCGAAGCGCGCCAGCTTGACAGGCCTGAGCGGACGACATCTTAATAGGGCTCGCCTGTGTTGACAGCACGCGTGATGCTGCGCTTTGAGGTCTAATCCGACCGTAGCATCACAACAAGTTTAACCTTTTCGCAGAAGAGGGGCCCCTCACCACACTGCAAAAGGGGTTTTGCTTAATACGGTCAAACTTAGCATTTTGGGCCAGACTTGATAATGAGGTTCAATGGAGTCAACTTTGCAATGCGGTCACTAGTTTTTGACATTCTTATATGGCGGTTATTGTACACTAGTGGCCATATCTATAGGGGTCTACCTGATGTTTCCCAATACCGATGTTCCCTTAAATGCTTACGGTTAGGGTTAGGGTTAGGGTTAGGGTAATGAATTCGGGGAAGATCGGTATTGGGGAACATATGTATTGGGGAACATAGCTATGCACCCATCTATAGTATCTATAGACGTAGCACATCAGCACTTAAAACAACCTTACGTGAAACCAAACTCCTTCACATCTCATAGAAACGGGTTTTTTTTTCTTTAATGCCTGTGACTTTCCAAGCGGTCAACGTGGCAATCCTCTCCTGAGTGTGTTTGATTCTAAGCAAATTGCAAATCTTGTACTAGCTGTGGGAGACTATTTTTAATGGTGAGGAATGACTTGGATAGCAACAGAAACAGGAACTGAAACGCAGCCCCATACGGACTGTGCTATAGTGCAGCGCCTGCTGCCGCAGGCGTGGCGAACAAGAAAAAAAGTTGACGGTGATTCTCGTCGCCAAATCCTTCAGTATAATTCTCTTAAATGTATCGGCTGTGGGGCAGACCCGGGTTTTTATTCGCGGTAAAGTGAGTTATTAAATCTTGTTGTTCCTCCGTCGTGACGCCAGTTTTTGCTGTGGGACAGGGAAAGATCACTTTTCTTTAGGAAATCTGGAGCACTTAAAGACGGGCACGTAGCATGGGCATCCTGCTTATATACATGCGTCAGCTGAGGGGAAAAAATCGTTAAAGGGCAGTTGCCGCAGCATAGAAATTAGCTTATAGTACTGTCGCTTTAATAAACGAAGTCATGCACCAAGTGTGTTGTTTTACGAGCAGCGTTTCATTAAATTGTCAGTATTTCGTGTAGCTCGACAGGTCTTGAAATTTGTTCTAGCAGGTGCGAGTCAATTTTCCCTAGGAAGAGAGCACTTCCACTGAGTAGGAATAAACATTGGGAACACATCAAAAGATTTAAAGCTCGATTTAAAAGACAGCACCTATAACCTTTAGAAAAAAATCGCGCCGGTGAAAATCGGTACAGGAGAGTACTATACTCGTAGTAACAAGCATTTATACGCCTGTTATAAACTGTGTGTTTAACAAATTGCAAGCATTTGTACGAAATAAAAAGCTCTATGAATTTGGCACGAACGGTCAAAAAGAGAGGTATCGAATACACATGGACGCCATTGCTGCCGGGCCATACGTAAACGCTATGCGTTCGTAAACCCTATGCGTTCGTAAACGCTGTGCGTTCGTAAATATATATATGCTTGTTACTACACAGTACTATTTTTCTACGTCCATAAAATTGTAGATTTGAAACCTGACAATGTATGTGAAATGAGGAAAGGCAGAGCAACTACAGCTTGTGTAATCGTATTGGTTGCTATTCGCCGTTACGTCACTGCTGATTTGCCATATTCTCGACTGCGCGTGCACGCGAGACGTAGTGCCTGTTTCCTAAAAATCTATGGATTATTGCGCGCGTGTTAATATTTGTAATTAGGCTATAAGGACAGCGACTGTTCTCATAATCTATATCAAATTAGTCGAGAGATTTTAAGGCTTGGTTAGCACATTAGAACAAGGGCGGATCCAGAACACAATTTTTGGGGGTCGGCCAAAAAAAATTGGTCCCCCAAAAAGTGGGTCCAAAAAATTACGGCGTACGGTTCGGGGCCCGCTTAAGGGCCCCGAAAATGTTTTGGATTCTAGATGCTGTGTGGTGCGATCTGAGGCAATTTCTGACCACTTTGACATTTTTTTTAAGGAAAAGATGGTGTATGCAGTGCCTGCCTTTATTGCGGTGTCACTTCGACAAAAAAGGTTCTTGGGGGGGGGTGGGAATGGCCCCCTTTGCCTCCCCCGGATCCGCCCTTGTATTAGAAAAAGAAAAAGAGTAACAGAAAAAAAAGCTGATCAGAGAAACGCACATCATGTTGCGAACTCAAAAACAGCTCAACCGTTACACTTAAGTTTAAAATGTCACTTTCTCGTTCTCCCTCTCCTACAGGGTACTACATGTATGCTCCGTCGTCTTACAACGATACTCAGCGAGGGCAGGTCGCTCGCTTCTCCTTCCCAGCCTATCAGCTCCGGGAGGGTCATGGAAGGCTAAGGTAACCTCTTCCTTCTATACCTATTTCCTGTAATGATATACCTCTGATGATAATACGTGTTGAGCTTGTAAAAGGAGATGCAGAATTATCCACCTATACGCAAATTCGGAGAGGCCATTTTTTTAGCAGTGCCTCATGGGGGGGGGAGTCGATGTCCGTTCGTTAGCTCGTACTAAGTGCCATATCAAAAGAGACTCGAAGCTGAAGCTGGAAACGAAGGCGAGGTTTGAAAAAAAAATCATAAAGTCGATACACGCGCAGAACCTCGATGAAGGCCTCCAAGACCATAGTGAGCTTGTGCAACGTAAGCACCTAAACCGCGAACATGAACACATCCATATTAAGTATTGCCCAGTCATAGTCATCGTTGCCCATAATCTCCAATACTGGCTTTAATATATTCGATGTTTTTTTGTTAAGACTTAATAAGAAATTGGGCATCACCTGTCGTGTGAATAATCTATTCAATGTTGTTGAGGTCACTGAACTCGCGCGTGCACGTTGTCTAACTTCCGGCAATTTTCCCCCTAACTATATATTCCGGGCAGATTTCGTGTGTGAAAGGAGCACATACCATAATACGCACGTAGTTCTGAATGATTTGACATCTCTGACGTCACGATGACGTCGGCGTCCTCTCCGTGAGAAGCGTTATGATCTGTATCGAATTTCAGTCTTTTGTTGCTTCATATGAAAAGGGAGAGAATGACAAAAGGCAGACTGATTGTCGGAGAAATGTAAACTGATTGTTGGAGAAATGCCTGGTTATAAAGGCGCTCAGGTTTGTTCACCTTGAACGATCGCTTCTAAACTTAACAGGAAATTACCAAACTTGAACCATTATATGCTCTTCGAATTTATTTACAACATTCGCGTCACTAAATCGGCGCCAATGCGTGGGAAGGCATCGTAAGAAATGGCGATGGTTTTTTTTTTTTAAGAGATTTATTAATGCACGATCTGTTTTGCCTTTAACAACTTCAAACCCGTACTGACCTTCGGCGTAGATAGCTGTCCTAATATTGAACCCTCGTTAAGTCCCCGGCGGGTCGCATAGGCTTCGATTTGAGTCCCCATAAATTGACTCCGATTTCTGTGTGTGTGTGTGTTCAGGGAAGCTAAAGAGACGTAGAATACGGCCTAAATCCAGGTTGTTTATTTCCAAACGGTGAGCTTCTATTTCTCGTGCCCGATATTCCCGGGCCGGCTCGAGTCGAACCATGTGGGGATAGAGTGGAGTGTTTGGACGGTAATAAGCCGTGCCGTTCCCCTCTGCTTGTGGCACGCCGGCCCCGACAAAAAGCGCGAATAAAGAGGCCATGACTTATTGGATTCCGACGCCGATCCATTGTCCCTAGACAACTTCCTGACAGATTCCGCGGTTTTTCCCCCGCCAAAAATTTGCAAAAGAAAAGAAATGGGGAAAATTCCCTGGCGGTTGTGTCCGACCAGACAATTTGGGGCACCGATGGAACTACAGTGTGGGGGGTTGAAAAAGGCTTCACAACATCTTTTTTCGGTGTGTGATTTAGCAAGTGACCTGGTAAAATCTGCTGGGTAGACGTCTCCTGTTTTGGCGTTTTGAGCGGTGGGGGCGCGCTTCCCATTTTCGAGGGGAGAAGGCATGCCAAGATTTTAGAATAACATGCCTATACTTAGCCATTTAATCTTTTAATTAATGTAGGCGTCCTTGACCGTTAAAAAAAAGGATATATATTGCAAAACTATGGAAATGATCAAAAGTGCATCTTTTGTGTGTCCTAAATTAATGGATTCGGAGATTTTGAATGTGTTACAAAAAATATGATGACATCATAGAAGAAAGTGAAGTCATGGGCGTCGCCAAACCAATTTTTTTTAGGGGGGGGGTGGTTACATCCAGGCCATTCGTGCTGGAGATAAGCAGGAGGCCTATTTGTATCAGCCACCCGGCCGATGGAAAATCAAAAAGTGTCGGGATATACCATCTGACTTTCTGGGGGCACTGTTCAGAGCAGACGATCTTAGGTGGCGCTATTTTTGCAACACATTTGCCTACAGACCCGATTAATGGGGGTTTCACACCCCACCTCAACACCCCTCTAGCGACGTCCTGGGTGAAGTCATCGTAGATTAGATAGATGGGATTACGTAAGACAAATATATTAAGCCCATTTATCCATGTATTTAACCATTTAGATCCATGTATCCCACACATTTGTCCTCGTTACCCTCGTTTTATCTCTTCGCAATATCCATACGTTGTACATCCTCACTGAAACCCGTGCGTTGTACCTTTTCTTTAACATCCCCCTTTATTACCCGTACGTTGTACATGTTTCGGTTACCCATAGGTTCTTCTATCACATGTGGGACGGATACGAGCCAGACAAGCTTGGCACGCTGACAGTGTACGCCTGTCACGGACTGCCATTGTGGTCGCGAGAAAGACGACAAAGGGACATGTGGCTGGGGACAGGCGTATTAAACATCTACTGCACGCAACCGTTTGAGGTAAATGAAGTAACTGTATCGGTAGTAAATAAATGTCCTTTTGGGAACCAGTAAATTGGTATCTGTGGCGGGAAGACTGATATTCTGTCATTGGAGTCAAACCACTCGATCTGCCTTGTTATGACCGACCAATCAAATTCCACCTTTTAATTAATAAGAGTTTTGCGTGTGTGCATCGTGGTCAAGTATAATCGTACAGCACAAACAAATATTGCTCACATCATTAATATTCATAGTTTATAACTTTAAACTACGATTGGACCCTTCTCGTACAAAATTGCTTATCATATTATCCCTCAGTGGTCAAGTAAAAATATTCATGAGGTTTTTATAAACTTTCTTCTTTCATTGGTACAGCGTTTGTTTTGTTGACCAATCAACGCTCTGAAATCCACGTCAGGTGTTATATTGCCACGGGTCATGTGTGTAAATCACACCCACCGGAGCACCCCTTTAATAAGAAAAGTGAAATGCACACCAATTATGAAGTAATGAATTATGCCTTTCAAGGAAACTTGAGAAGCACAACCAAGACAAAGTACGAAAAAAGAAGTTATGTAAAGGGTGCGTGTACAATTCGTAGAGTCTCACTGACTGTTCGCTGAATGGCCTAGGGACAACTTGACGGTAGTTCCCGATCGCTCAGCCCATGAGTCATCAGCACCTAACACTTAAGAAACTACTGGGTTCTCCTTGATACGAGACATGACTTGCATGCTTCACCCATGCATTTCATCTTCATCTCCCCTCCAAAATATGATATTCAGGCACCATCACTTCATCTTGTTCTCAAGGAGTTCGTATTAGTTGAGACTTGTATGAGATATTCTGCCCCTTCCTCGCGTTAAACAGTTTCGGGGGAAGTTCATCAGATTGCACTGGTGAGCTCAGCTTGCACATTGTATACACACGATGGGACATAAGTACGATTGGCTCAGTGGGGCGTTTTGGGCAATGCAAGGTATAGGACAGCTTCGGGGAACTTGGCAAAAAGACCCAATGGGTGGACTTGAGGCACTCGTCAGACTCCCCACACCTGATAGCAACGCTAGTTATTGAACCACACATGCATTTGACGTGCATCTTTTGATGAGCGGGGTCTTACGTAAATGTGAAACCAAATTGGGTTTGGTATCATGGACAATTTACACGACTAGTGACAACCCATTGGAAGGTTGTGTAATACCATTATGACATACGTTGCATAAAAATGCCATGGACCCATCAGGAATCATTGTAATAATACTGTGTTTTTATTAAAATGATATAACGTTAGACAGAAAGTCAGGTTGGTATAATTTGCGAATGACGTCTTTTTATCTTTCCCCGTTTTGAATGTATAATAGCAGTAAAAGAGCGCAAAGAGGTATTGTATGGGAATGAATAGTCAAAAAAGTGCGAAGACAAGTCGTTCGAGTGCTAAGGTTCGTCCTTAACATTCTAATCAGTACACGTGTACTACAGAACTCAGGTAGAGGCCACAAAGGATTGCATTGACGTAGCCAGCGTATTTACACGGAGATTAAGGAGCTTAGAGATTGTACCGATGGATACAAAGGGAGCAAAATCATCAAAATGTATCAGTGGCTGCGTGCAGACTGAGCCGTCTAGGAATTAAAATGTAGAACGAAAATTGATATGTTTGTTCGTCGTTATACATTTTGATTGATTTTTTCCCCTTTTTCGCAATTTCGAAATAACGATCGATGTAAAGAAATGGAAGAACGTGAAATGTAATCGAGCCATCTCCCATTGAAAGCGAAGGTTGGATTGTACCCATAAAGAGGACCCCCCCCCCCAAAAAAAAATTAGTGGGGACGCAGTAATTTTATTGTAGTGTTTTGTTTTTCTATTATTTATATTTTTTTTTGTTCCTATGGGCGAATTTAAGGATTCAATAAAGTATTTTCTTAATCAATTGTAGGAGTCTGGAATGGTCCTTTTCTTGCCCGAAAATCAGATTGTTTCTGTGCCAATGGCACCTTTGGTGTGATTAATTCACTTAGGGTTTTATCTCGACGATCGAATGTAACCCTCGTTTCACTGGTTTAAAAAAAAATTGGTATAATTGCGAGATCCTTTAAACGGATTTACGAAACCCGCGCCGAAATCGGAACATTCACCTTGGGGGCGTGTCACAGCCTCCTCCTGATTGAAAGAAAACAATCATTACCATGTTTTTAAGGGGAGGAGGGGAGAAAAATTGGCGCCCATTTTTGGAGAGATTTACCGTAGGACTAGGGGTTTATTGTTCAACGCTGCGGGCGCTTTTCACGGTGAATGAAGGCGTACGATCCATGATTATCGCGTCGTGCGATCGCAGCGTCTAGCCCACGGATATATCCCGGGCCTTACGCCTCGCCCATCTGGCGGCGATCTCACCGCCTTTCCCCTCGCCGGCTCCCTCGCTGAAACTACTCATGATTTGGACTCAAAGGGCCAATGATGAGGAAGAAGTTGATTCTTATCGCAAAGCGGAGATGGCGGTGCCTTCGTTCTAATGAAGTTTTTTTTCCACCATCCCTTGGGCGGACCACGCTCATGTTCTCCGGCAGGGTATAGAATCTTTGTGTGGACTCTATTGTTCACCTGGGCCGCTGAACAGTCTGTATTCATACGCGTTTCCGATGACCCATTTAAGATAACTTGTCAAAGACATTGAAAAGGCTGCAGTAACTGAAGTACGAACCAAGAAGAAACAATGCACAATGAATATTGCTTTCCGGAATCGTTGTTGAAAATCATCATCAGGTTACCCAGCCGATAATCCTAGCTGGGTCACAGATTGGATTGGGTCTTTCAGTCTCTATTTTTCTTTCATCCATTTTTGTTTTTAGAAATAGGATTTGCTTTCTTTGTTTTACATTGATAAGATTTACATCTTTAGAAGCTTGGCCCATAGCCAGTGGCGTCACCAGACTTTTCAGTCTGGGGGGGGGCACAGGGTGGCACCAGCATTTGATGGGGGGGGGGGGCACTTAGGTGGATACGGATCGCCGTCCTGGGGGAGGGGTCTAAGGGGAGGGGGTGCCCCCCTCCCCTTTGGAAAATTTTTGCATACGGAGGATGGGCTAGATGCAAAATGGTGCCACATTTGATGCTCATTTGAAGAAAATACGAATTACTGTGCTTCTTTGTCCTTATGAAAAACCCACTCAGATGATGGGAGTTGAATATAACAAAAAATATATATATTTTTTTACCAACCCAAATCTCAGATGGGGGGGCACTCGGGGGGGGGGGGCACTAGGTTTTCCAGGGGGGGGGGCACGTGCCCCCCCTGCCCCCCCCCCCCCCCCTTGGCGACGCCACTGCCCATAGCCACTGGGAATTTCCCGGTAAATCCGTGCGAATTTACTGAGCAGCAATGGCTTCTATACTAATTATTTCTTGTAATGAAATGAACTATTTTCCCAAAGTGCCTGTGGTACTGTATCTCGAAAGCCCAAAGAAACACTTAGAGAGAAGGCAATTAAGACATGTTCTCTTTGAGACCCAGAATGATTACCCTTGATAAATATTTTTTTGGAAATCCCTAGAAAATATTTAGGGAATGGAAACCCAAATGCTGAGTGGGATTGGAACCGGGTACAAAGAGGTGAAAGATGAGGAAAGTACAACTGCACCAACCCCGACCTTCTTTCCTCTTGTATTCCTTTTCATGGATGTCGTTGTCACCTCTTGGGGTTTTCTTTTTTGTCATTTTTCCAGCTTATTTTCGAAGCCATTCGAGGTGGATTCGACAGTGACATAGCAGTTGATGACATCAAATTTGTGGACTTGTACGAATCACCACGTGAGTGTTTGTTGCTTGGTTTTTTTTCTTTCTTTATTTTCTGCTTTTCAGTGAAAAATCGAAAGTACACTGTAAAGGGGTCACAAAACAGCAAGGTGACTACTGAAGGAGTTTTTTGTGATCTTTAATGGTTGAGAAGATATTCTTCAATTTTTTTTTATAATTCTGTGTAAATTTATAAAGATTCGACAAGCTTATATGAATACTACTAAAAAAATCTACCGAAAATGTACAATCAAATGCAGACAGATATTCAGTTGAAAATGAAAATCTATGTTTTGTTTTTTAAGTTTTGGGGCAAAATAAGAGCAACAAATCCAATTTACAATTCGAATTTTATTTAATCTGAACTGATTTTTAAAGATGCTCAACTTTCCATCCACTCAAACAGCTACAACAGCACCACCACCGACGACGCCGCGAGAGTCGCACACCACGCCCCGCAAACCCACAACTAGAAGGACGACACCGCGCACCCCTCAGCGGACTGAGCCCAAGTCTACCTCCGCCTCTACCCTAGGCCGACTTATCACAAACTCCACGCCTAATAAAGAGAGGAAGACGGACCCAGCTGTGACGCCCCCGATCACGTGGATGGCCGGCTCGCCGTCAGATCCTCCCGGTAAGTTTTTTGCAATTATTAGTTCGCATGCGATGATCCGGCTCTCTTCACTAAACTCCACGTTAGTAGACTGTACTTTGACTATTCGGGCCCAGCCTGCTGGGCTTGGTCATATCGCTGGTTACCAACAACCACACGCTTCATAAGGTACAGCAGGGAACCAGGCTGAGTGATTTCGTGTGGCTGATGGCCAGCGTTCGACCATAGACGTTCGCACTTTAGATCAATGTCATGGGTCAACCGCAAGTCAATTAACGACTACCACGGGGGAAAAAACTGCTTTTTAGCAGCACATCCTGGGGAAAAAATCCAGTTCCTTGAGAAAAGTCGACATTTGTTTATGGACCTTTCCTGCCTGTCATTCAGCAGTGCACATGGCCAATTACGTCATGACATTGGGCCGCGTATAAACGGTAGCTTGGTCTAATTTAAACAAAGCAAGGTGGACGGGGCTTATGACCCAATTCATGATCGCTCCATTTTAGACTTGGCCGAATGGTAATTCTATCTTAGTTAACGTAATTTTGGTTCTATTGCATTTTTCTTTATAGTGTGGACGGCCTTTATCCTAGCGGGAGCCGTTGGAGGCGGCTTTGTTCTCTGTTTCATGGCTTTCTTCGTCATGTTCTTCTTCTGTCGACGAAGGCGGAGGTATTTTGGATTTATTTATTTCTGAAAAAAATAATATTGAGACGTCACGAACTTAAAAAAAAAGCACAATTTCTCGTGGTATATTTGCAATACATATGTCGACGGATCTCAGTCCCATTGCTGAATATTCGTTTCTGCCATAAAGTCAGGCACCAAACTTGACTAAGCAATTTGAATCTTGTAACTGTGTGAAGTGTCATCAGTCAAAATAACAACATTAGAATAAATGACAGGACAATTTTCACTGGAAGCTTAAACGAGAACAAGAAACCCAGTGAGTCAGTCTTTTCAATTTGTTAAGAGGAAGCCCAAAAAAACGTAAATAGGAACCTGACTGGTTGCAATTGAATATATAATACATACACGACATTGACAATTTTGAGCCTGCAAACATAGGGCTGGCTGGCTCATTTGGTAGAACGCCGGTACGGTCCCAGATTCAAATCATCCTCGATTGAATTTCTTAAATGTTCAACCTTACATTGTTTTAGTCAACTCTGCCAGTGGAGACTTCAAGTTGGGTTCTTTTTAACATTCGATTGTCCAGGTCCAAGTCAAGATCAGCTGGTATATCTTATAACGTGGACAACCTGACCTATCCTAACACTGGTATAACGCCTTGCGGTCGTTGCGATGCCTACTACACTGCACTGCAGACCACACGAGGCGTTGAGCTCCACCTATACCAAGAACTGCACCAACCAGCCAAACAGATCAGCGACAGCAGCAGCAGCACTACCAACGAGGCTGTACACTCGGCTGATGGCGGATTCTACGAGTGCATTGACGAGGACCAGTTTAGCAGCGTGACCAACGACATGTCAGAGTACACAGAGGCCGAAGCTGCAGCGCGCAATCTGGCCTCTAACACGGCTACATTGCCATCCAAGCAGTCACTGTCTCTGAAGATTATAGAGCCCATACCATTCGAGACCGGCCCGGAAAGCCCCGTCAGCTACGTTATCGAGTCCGTGGACTTGCCTCGTAAAGGGAGCGATAGTGGTAGCTCCCCTTGCAAGACACCACCCGCAATACCGTTTTTAGAACCCAAGTATTTCACGCTCGAACCAGACGGAGAGTACCACGATCGCTGCTGTGACCAAGACAGAGTTTGCGTTGTGAACGGCGAGCACAAGCCCAACATCGAGTTGAGCGAAGACGAAGATATCATGTGCTTATCACCTGATGACATGGACGGCCGCCATGCGCATGCGCGACTGACTGACCCCGTCTCACCTAACCCTTCCTACTGCGAACCACCAATGAGCGACGAGGACCCCTTGACCCCTACACAGACTGGTACCCTGTCAGGCAGTCCCTATGGTGGCTACATACCTCCCATCCCTTCCATTGGACGGGGTGCTGCAGTACCAGACAGAGGAGGCAGACGAATTGAAATTATCACCGAAATCTAGATAATAAAAGACAGGACCATTTTTTATACCAGATGTAAATTTCATGTACATAATTCTTGCAAAAAAAATAATTTTTGCCAATCTATTTATAATAAGAAGGGAAAGTAGTAACGTGGGTTTACTAAACGCTTTGTTAGTTCCTGTGACCAAATTTCTTTGTGCTGCTAGAAAAGGAATAAAATGCGCTAAAGTCATGAAATGATTAGCATTCTTAAAAAAGTGGCCCTCGGGATCGTCTCAGATCACTTTAGTTCAGCCCATGATGTTTTCTAATCTGAACCTTTTAAGTCATGTGTTTGAAGTTGAAAATGGCGCCCTCTGTTGATATACATCAGTAGGCAGGAATGACTGGGCCACATTCGCTCGTCCCACCCTCTCCCGAGGGCACTGGTGGTGGCTAATCGCTTGTTCGAAAATCTGTACGGAAACGCACTGCAAACTGGTTCGCTTTCTATGGGGACGAGCGAAACTATATTAACAATGCTCATGCATCTGCAGCGTGTTCGATTACTTCCCTCGAGCTTCCCATACTTTTTGTCTTGGGTGCAGATGCACATGCGCAACCTGGAGCAATAAACGACCTCGGGTTACTCGAGGTCGAGCCATAGCGACCGGACCGCGTGAAGAGGTCATGTGGCGATTAAAGCCCCTTTGCAAATGATTCGAGCCGTCGAAAGCGAGCCACTGTACGTGCTCTTCGAAAGTGAACATACACGAAATGCCGGGTATGTTTAAAGTTAACTTAACTTTCCTCCCGTCCAGTCGTACTAGTGTGAAGTGAAGTTTAGACACTTTTGAGTCCCCCGCCGCCGGCGTAACTTTTTTTCCTAGGAGGGTTATGGGCAATGTCATGAATAATTCAGTTTTTCCTTTGAATCATTGCAAGACTTAGGTTCTCGTTCTATTTTCCCCTTAATTTAAAATTATCTCAGTGATAAATTTGGAGAAGAAAAATAGCTGATGAAAATGAGCAGCGACGACGTGGATTCGAACCAGGGATCTTTGTATCCATAGCTCATCTCGCTATCCACTAGGCTACTGTGTGGTAGCTCGACAACAACCGTTTTTTAAAATGCTTTAATGTATTGTAACTAGTTGAGTAACTAACAACAATGCTGTTGATGTCATTGTCCGTTCTCATGGATAAACATGAATTATTCATGACATTGCCCCTAACCCTCCTAGGAATAAAAATTACGCCCGCCGCCGCAGCGTTAGACTTAGACGCCATGTTTTCGCATTGTATTGTGGGATACTTACCCAAGTAACCGGCTCGGTGGGACGGGTTTATACTTGGGCCAGACTCGAGTAGGCGCGAGAAGTCACGTGAGAGTTAAATCGAACGCAATCGGGCTTGCACGAGTAAGCGCGGGGAAGTAATCGAACGTGGGGCTTGTTTGAAACGGTTTAATGTACACTCCAGAGAACACACAGTATCAGATCACCCACACACACCCCCCCCCCCCCCAGTCGTTTTTTGCTATGCTTCCGAGGATTAGCTTTGTGTTTTCCTTTGTCCCTGTAATATAACACTCTCCCATAGACTAAGCACACAAACCTGCGTTCGAGGACAATAGGCACCTTCCTTCGAAGATCAATGGCCCCTTTGTGCTCCTTTTGTTGTCTGTCCTCAGGCGTAATGCAATGCAGGAACACCCCCCCCCCCCCCCCACACACACACACACACAAATGACCCGCGTCAGAGTGCTGGAATTTACTACCTTACGGAGACATGCACACAATAGGGAACAAAAGATTGTATACGTCTCCAGAAGAACATTTCTATAGATGAATACGTCTCCACAAGAATTTCACGAAATAGATATATGGATTTTACTCAAAAACTAGGAATTTCCAAGGTAGGTTGATGTGTCGCAAATGGAAGAGTTTTAGAAAAGGGATATTTAGTCCAAATTTCAGCCCAGGAAATTAATTCTGGTTAAAATAAGAGCATTTTGAAACTTCAATTTCAAACTCGAAAACTTTACTACACGAGAACAAAGAAATGTCTCCACAGGAATACAAATTCCAGAATGGGTGGGCAAACAGTTTGTCCAATGAGAGCTGAGAGCGCGTTGACCCAGGGTCTTCGGGTAATCAAAAATCCTCCAATGAGAGCTCAAAGCGATTAGCCTCCACCAGCGCCTTTAGGCGGTGGGGATGAGCACACTGGGCGCACAGGTCGTTTGTGCTGACATCATAATCAAATTCGTCAGCATCAATAGTTTCATGCAAAATAGTAATGTTTGAAATACACTGTATCATCAAGCAATTCTAAATATTTCACTCGATATTTGCGCAGTGGCGACTTTTAGTCGGATTGATTTTTAGCATGTTGTATTCTTATTGAAACTACCGAGTGCGTTTCAGATTGGAGTCAAAGGTCACTTGTGTGGCGTATACAGAAAGGCAGAGGTCGTATCGACCATTTGCAAAGCTCTGTTAAGAGATACAATTTTTTCCTAGTTACTTAACTCATTTGGATAAAAAAATAGTACAAAATCTTGACCCACTACTTGTTAATGACAAAAGATCTTTAGAACGTGTCTGTTTTTGTTATTACTATGCAATACTGCAGGAGTATGACGACATACATTGCCAAGTACTTTCATTAATCTAACATTAATTTTGATCAAATACAAGGGTTAGAAAAATTATGTACTTAGGTTAGATGTACTATAAAATTATTGCCTTGATATTCTTTTTATATCTATGTTATTATGCGTCTTTTTGGCATTGTGTATGCTGTTTGCAGGAGTACTAAAATTCGTAGATTGCGTTAGTTGGGGAAGGTTTTATTCAGAAAATGTGAATGAACTAATGCAGCTTGCACTGTGTGATGTGTATATTGAATGCTGGGTTATATACCGTATGGTGTTAATTTAACACTGCGGTGTTTGTGGTGTACTATCCAAGGTTCGCCATGTTCAGTTCCTTGTAGGACTGTGCAACACCAAACTTTAGTTCGAACCTAGTCCTACGTGGAACTCAACCAACACGTGAAGGAGCACTAAAACTCAACCAACACGTGAAGGATTTATGAAACGTCGACTCTTCCTCAACACATGATGAGTTATTAAGAAGAGGCCGCACCTGTTTATTCATAGGCCCTCATAGAACAAAACAAATATTACCGCTTTACTAAGAGAAAAGATTAAAGATACGCTAGAGTAACAGTTCACAGCATAAATCGAACGGACAGGAAATTCTCCTACAAACGCGACTTTCGTTATAGAGGAAACAAAAAATACCAAACATTTTTTAAAAGACATAAAGATAAATAATCTTTATAATCCATCCTTAAAATGAAATAGGTTAGACTAACAACATGCTGTACTTGACAAAATGGATATGATAATCAGTATTTAACTACGAAAAGTCTAGACGATTAGATCCAAAATAAATAAGTATGTTTAATAGTAGGCTCAACGTGACGAAGATGAACCACCTTAAAATCGATTCAGTACTATGTATAAAAAGCCTACCCAATACTATAATGAAGCGATTTTTACTGTTTAGCATAATGTGATTATAGGTGAAGGTGTTCGATAATAAGTGTATTGTTTCTCGATGGAAGTTCAATACGTACTTTCTGGATACGAAACCAGGGGGCATAGTATGAGGTAACACGCTCCCTTCTGAATTTCTTGAAATTGTAATCAGCTGGTATTTAGTGACACATATGTTTGTCTTTTCATTGGATGAACCCTTTGTTTAAATTATGTTCATGTTAATTAAGTTGTTCGTTGATAAAAAATATCAATCTTTCTCTTTTACGTCATGAATACAACTAAAGATCAAACATTCGTGAGGCATTGCACACCTTGAGCAGTACGGATCATGTGTTATTTTAGTATCAATTTTATTGGCTGAACTGATTTTGAATTTTGTTTTTTTAGATTTGCTTTATACAAATAATGTAAGGAAATTACTATAATTCCTTCTTAATTGGTGAATTTTATGTTGAATAACACTGTGTATACATATATTGTATTGAATGGAAGGAACGCAAGGGACGGCTGAAAAGTATGAATAAAATGAGAACTTCACTTGAAACGTTTCCATCTGTCCTTTCTGCATGTCCTAATGTAATTTACCCAATATTCGAGCACAACGTATTCAAAATTTGAAGTCGATTCAATTACACGTTTGTTTCCATACTAAAAGTACAGAAGCAAGGGAGAATGCATGGATATAAAATCTAAATAAATTAGTACATAAATGAATGATATATGCATAATATGAGGACGGGAAACAAAGAGGAGTATATTGCTGTCCGAATAAGCAAAGCATTTAGAGAACAGAAGTTTAAACAGTACGCGAAGACGAACGCACATTAGCTAAGCCGGGGGGGGGGGGGCATTTACCTGTCTGCAACCAGCTACATGTATATAGGAAATTACAAATGTACCATAATGCGCATGCGTCGTATGTATAACACCGTGACTCGATTCCGCAATATTGTGACGCCACGCAACGCACCAGGCCAACGCGTGTACCACGCATAGAGCTATATTAAACTAGAACACTCAGAGAGCGCAAACTTCCGTCAAGGCTACACAACTAGCAAATGCTAGGAAGTTTAAGCAAAAGGTAAAAGCATTTACTTTGGAGTGAAAGCATTAAGGAAAAGCAAATGCTTGATTCCGTATGAATAAAAGTTTTCCTTTACTATTCATCATTTACTAGACAACAGGTAGCAAATGCTTCTTACTGTTGGATATATATGGACGAATGGTTGTCAACAATAGGGTCTCTTTTGTGTGTACGAAGTACGAACTGCCACACATACGTAGGGTTTACACGTAGGGTAAAATAGTCCAAATCACGATGATGCACGCGGTACATGACTGTAGTAGCACATTTGAACCTCAAATCCAGCTAAAATGATGAAGACACTTTTCGCCAGTTGCAGAATACGGAAAGTATACTTTCATCATTCATGAAAATTGTAAAGGTCCATAGTGTCCTATAGACGTCACAATTGCATACAAAATTACAGACACGTGTTAAAGCGAATGAAATCATACTAAAATTCAACACAAAGGTTTTTGTATATTGAATTATTAAAAAAAATATTGTGCAAAGATTGGTGACCTTATCAACTAAACAATGATCTCATTTTGTTCAGTCCCAAGGGTGCCGTTGGATAACATTTCTCCTTAATCATTCTATGCCGCACTGAATTTTACCGCACTTCGCATATCGGGAACCAAATGCATATCGGGAACCAATTATCGTTTCTTCTAGTAATGGATTAATAATAAAAACATATTTAAATTTCGCATAAATGTTTCTCAAAATAAAGTGTGTGGTATTATGTGTATTTTTTTTTTACGTTTTGTGTTAATTTTGTGTTAATAAACTTTATCCTTAATCATTCTATGCCGCACTGAATTTTACGCAAAACTTCGCATATCGTGAACCAAATGCGAAAATATTGTTTCTTCTAGTAATTCAATTCAATTCAATTCAATTCAAAGGAAACATTTATTTCCATACTTTCCACAAATAAGTCAAACTAAGTTTTTAAATAAAAAAAGGTAATTAGATACAATAAATAAATAATAATACAACAATGTGGTATAACGACTAGATATGTTAAATTAGGGTGAAGAGTATGGGGCTGTTCATATAAACCGGAGCTTGTAGAGAACAGCCTTACACATAAGCGGAGAATACAGGACAGTTTACACAGGCAATAGGAACAAACACGAAAACAGTCAAAGGGAAACTAAAGACAAGACAAAACAAAACAAAACACGAGACGAGACACTAAAAGCCGAGACAAATTGAATAGTTGCGATGAGGATAAGATAAAAGAGACGATGAATTGTATGTAAAGAAGAGATGTGGCTATGGAGAGTGGCTGAGGAGGGAAAGCTATGTTACATATTGTGATAG